TCGTGCGCATGCGCAAATAAGTGGGTTTTCTGCAGCTGTGCTTTCCTGCAGGCATGGGCACACATGCGTGAAAGAGCAGGAGGGGGCTCAGGGACATTCGTGCACATGTGTGAAGGGCACATGGGGCTAATGTGGGCGCAGGCGCACACACGCAGGCGCAAAGGGGCTGTGGAGGAGTCCGTGCAGGGGTGGGGGGAGGTCTGTCTCCATGGCCTGGTCCGGCTCAGGCTAGGGACTGGCACTTGGCCACGGTCTGGGAGTTAGGAACTTCTGATCTAGTCCATATTAAATTATGAAGGACATTCCCAAGTGGGTGACATGTTTTTATGTATGGCAGCACACAAACTGGTTCAACATTCATTTCTGCTTGTAAAAGCTCAGCCATCATCTCAACAAACACTAGTTGTTGTAATTATTGCTCATTTTCTGCAAACACCAAGGAACTCATACAGATTTGGTAAGAATTAAGTATCTCGGTTTGGTGTTTTAAGAAACTGCCCTATTACTGGGTAAAGGAGAGAGGGAGGGAGGGAGAGAGAGAAAAAAAGTACAGTGCTATGCAATATAGCAATTAGAAAATCATTGGTGGCAGTCTTACATTCTAATGATGCAAACCTAATTGTGTAGTGCTAAAAGGGGAAAAGGTTAAATACCATCATTTAACTTGAATTAAATGCTAGTTTCATGCAGCTTTCTATATTACGAGATTTAACCTCTTGTCCATAAGCCAGCTGTTTCCAAGGCCAAGAGTCTACATTTCATTTTCAGCACCTTCTGCCTTATACAAGCTAATTTAGCTGGGTATAGCAGTTATGTTTACAGTAATGTATGCTTACTGTTTCAGACTGAAGAACAGTTCTACATGTTTTTCACAGTCTTTTTTAGCTGGCAGCTTGAAATATGTGGTTTCTAATATTGTTCCATAGGTTATGAGTATGGCTCCAGTATTGCTTTAAAAATTTCATGCAATCCTGTGTAGTGTGGTATGTCTGGTTGGAGGTTTTCTGTTAAGGATACATGAATAAAAATTATATACTACAATTCGAGTCCACATATTATAGTCATTCCTGTGTAAATCCAAAGGTGTCATTCAGTATTCCACCATGTTTCCCTTAGAAGTAGTGGTGATTTATACAATTCAACTTCAGCGTCCCTCAAACCTTTTACACTTACATTTTACCCCTCAGGCTAAGGCAGCATTTTACAACACTGTCTGGCTTGAAGCCCAGGCTAGTTTTTCTATTACAGCCACATATATTCATCAAACACTATTTAGTTTAGAAGGGTTACTGTGTTTGTGACTAAACGTAAATATTAATGCCTCCGTAGGAAACTAAGAGAAACTCTTACAGTTAATAAGACAATCCTGATTGGCTTCACACACCTTGAGCATATTAAGGTAAGTTACATAGGAATATGTAATGTTGATGCAGAAAAGTAATATGCTATACCTAAAGAAGCAATAATTTTCTGTGTTGGACTTTAAAGGGGGAAGGACAGTTTATTGTCCACTGTTCCCAACCTACTGTACCATATTTGTGGCACATTGTTTTTTGGTTATTCTTCTCTGGTCTTGATTTGGCTCAAGTAGCTTTGCACTTAAAGCTCTATATTAGATTTTTCCCCCCAAGTACCCTGTTTTGGACTACATCATGTTACCTCTGTGAACTTTTAAAATACCTATCTTTGGGGGCAGGAGAGGTTCTGTGGCATGTTTGTTTGTTTGTCAGAAGACACTGGCGAAAATCATGTTGCTTAGCTAGTAAATTGCACTAGAGTAGGTTCATTGAATCTATTGGGATTTGGCAAGTCAACTGAAAGAGGTCAGTTCCAAAAGTTTCATATCACATTTCATATCTAGAAAGTTTAAAATAATGAAATATGCACTAGAAACTTAAAAAATCAATAAAGTTTAAAGTCATTATAAATTCTGAAATCTAATAATCTGAGTTGAGTTGAGTGTATTGATAGGGAAGTTCATCTTGTAGACCAAATTTGGGGCACCAAGTTAGCCCATCCAAACTGCAGCGCCTTGGGGAAGGCCCCTCAGAAAGGGCAGGAGGAACAAATAAGCTGCAGTCTTGACAGCATAATACAGTACTGTCACTTTTGATCTTACCTTGTCTTCTACAATCAGAGAGAGGAAGAGGAAGGACTACAAAAGTTGGCTTGGGAGTTATCTGCAGTGTTCTTTCATGCTGCACCATAGTCATTTGCGAAGGTTTTCACGGCCAGGATCTAATGGTTGTTGTGGGTTTTTCGGGCTCTTTGACTGTGTTCTGAAGGTTGTTCTTCCTATCGTTTCGCCAGTCTCTGTGGCCGGCATCTTCAGAGGACAGAGGACACCAGAGCACAGAGTGCTGTCCTCTGAAGATGCCGGCCACAGAGACTGGCGAAACGTTAGGAAGAACAACCTTCAGAACACAGCCAAAGAGCCCGAAAAACCCAGAACAACCATTAACATGAATTCAATAGAAAATCAAACTCCCATGTTTTTTGCTTCTATGAATGAAGATCAGGTAAGAAAACCCTTCAGGAAGGACTATTTTGTAGCTCAGTTTGAAACTGACCTGTCTTGTTGGTGACCCCCTCTCCTTGTAAAATAGGAGGTCCTGGTATGTTGAGAAAAAAGTTGATGTCATATTTGCTTCCAAACATTAGTGAACTGGATTGCCTATCAGAATGGATATCTCTTAATTGTGACAGTTTATGGGTTTAAAGTTATTTCTATATTTTGTTTGTAATGCTGCAAATATTTTTACAGCACAGCTGTCAAAAAGAGATGCATATTTTGTAATTAAAGCATTGGGGAAAGTAACAGTGACCTGAAATGTATTAGGAATTTACTCCAGAGTAAGTGAAAGTTATGGCGATGAATTGTTACTGATTAATAAGGTGCCATTTACATGCCTATTTGCATAAATAGCATGCTACTAGCCATATGAGCAACACTTTATCTGGCATTTGCCACAGCAACATATGCAGTTTAACTTACTCTGGAGTGAAATCCCAATAAAATCTGGACTCTTTTTCATAAAGAAGAGTGAAAATAGTTTGTGAGCCTCTACCAACCTTGATTCAAATGGTAGTGTGGAAACATTCTAGCTATCTCATCCTAAAATATGGCACTACATATTTGAATCCAAAATCAAAACTTACAATTAAAACAAAAAAGGTACATAGGAACTTTATTGCACAGTGCATTAATGAATTCAATGTTTGTGCTTGAGTTGGATACTTTCTGCCCATATTTCTTGTTAGTCTTAATAATGTCTGCATCATTCTTGTTATTTTTATGTTGTATAGCATTTTAAAGCTAGTTTGAACATTTATGTTAGAATTTTAATCCCTAACACTTCTTGTTGTTGTTGTTGTTTAGTCATTTAGTCGTGTCCGACTCTTTGTGACCCCATGGAGCAGAGCACACCAGGCCCTCCTGTCTTCCACTGCCTCCCAGAGTTGGGTCAAATTCATGTTGGTACCTTCGGTGACACTGTCCAGCCATCTCATCCATCTTATTGCAATGCAATCTATTATTTTCAAAGATACAACTGTATCTGCAAATATTAATATTTGTAACTGCAAATATTAGTTGCTTGCATTAACCCCCCCCCCATTTTAAACTATTTATTTTGAGGTACTGTAGTAACAGGGCCCTTTGCAATCAAGTGGAAAAAGGTTTCACAGAGGTTAGTGGGATTTACTTTCTTTAAGCAGGCACAGAATTGCAGGCTTAGAATTCACAAATTGTTTCTTACTGTAACCTAATCACATGTCTTCAGTGAAACACAAGGTGGGAGGAGTACTCCCACAGAAACCTGGACTGCAGAAATTAGCAGGTGCACCAATAACCTAAAGACTCTCAAAGCAATTTCTTTGATGGAGGAATTTGAAGCTGGCAGGAACAACTCTATGGCCATACTTTTTTAAAAGGGAAATGTTATCTCAAATTGAAGACTAACAAACTTATTGCCATGCTGTGTGTTCTTATTTGCATGAAAGGTTGCATGTGTTTTATGAACACCGTCAAATCTCTTTCCTTAGAAGGTAAAGCAGGATTTTCCACCCAAAGGATTCATGCACCCCAAATCCAGCAGCAATGTATGTAGAAGTTGGGTATTCTGAAGAGCTAGCTGTAAGTTTCCCACAGATGGGTGGGTTCCACATTAGTATGGAAGGGAATATTTTCTGCCGCCTGTTCCACATTAGTATGGAAGGGAATATTTTCCGCCGCCTACTTTCTGATTATATCTACACTGGACCACATTTGCACTGACTTAAGTAGCACAAGGTATTTATCCTTTATTGTTTATAATCTTATACTCTCACATAGTTGATTAAAATGAGTTTGAAATTTAAAGAGACTAAGCTGCACCATTATGTTTATTTGGAATATTCAACCAACCACACACCATAAGCTAATAGACCGCACAGGCCAAATGTATAAATGGCCTACACTGACGAATCCACTTGTAAATCTGCAGCTCATGCATTAATCGGAGGTCTTCACGTTGGCAGCTTAAATTTGCACATTGCCCTACGCTTTGTTCAGGCAGAGCGTTTTCCATCCCTTACAGGCAAGCAAGCAATTCAATTCTGCAGCTGCCAGCCGATAATATTCTCTGGAGCAGAGGAGCGCTAATAAAGCGGCATTAGGGTAGACCTAAGTACCACCACCCGTTACATAACGAAACAGGCACGGCCGGGAGGACATGCCCATTCTGACGGTAGCGGCAATTCCGGAGCTGGCCCCCCACCTCCCGAGTGCGCACCGACAACACGGGGAGCGTATCTTTCGCCGGAGGTGCGGGGGTACGGCGGGGCAGCTCATGGAGGAAGAGCCCGCCCTATCAGGCCGTGTGACCGCACAGCCCTCGACCTCCTCCCCTGACGAGGCCGGGGAGCGCGTGGAGCGCCTCAGAGGGAGGGGGAGCCCTTTGCGCGCGCTCGTCCCTTCCCTCTCGCACTCCCCTCCTCCGAGCGCCCGCGCGCGCCGCCGCCGCCGCCACCCTGGGTTGGGAATAGGCTCGGGAGCGCGCCTGCCAGCCTTGCCTTGCCCGAGCGAGCCCTTCTTCTCTTCACACACGGTCGCCGGCGCTCGCCCAGGAACCAGCGGCTTCCCCCTGAGGAGAAAGAGGTGCTCGCTCTCTCGCTCACTCTCTCCAGCGCCCCGCCCTGCTTGCCACACCAGAGGCTGGCCGCTACCTGTGAGTCCTGCGCTTCGCTCCGTATTTGAGGGGGAAGGAGAAGGGGAGGTGCTCCTCCACCTGAGCAGGGCTGGCTTCTCCCGGCGTGGGGGGGGGGGCGGGCATGGGC